AATGAAAAGCAAGTTCATCCAGATCAAAATTCAAATGTTGTACCTCAAAATAGAGTGGAAAGTGTAAGTGTAAACATGTCTTCATCTTGTGTTGGTCAGCAAGATATGTTACTTTCCACTGCACTTGTGCAGTTATTTGATTCAAATGGTCAATCAATTACTGCTAGAGCTTTGCTTGACTCAGGCTCCCAGTCGAATCTAATAACTGAAGAACTTTGCGATAAACTGGATATTGGTAAGCAAGAAATCAATGTTTCAATTATTGGTGTGAATCAAACAGTTTCTTGCATTAAATATAAATGTAACCTAACTGTACAATCTCTTCATAACGAGTTCACCAAGGATATCTCTTGCTTGGTGGTACCTAGGATTGTTGGATTTCTTCCTGGTAAAACTATGGATGTTTCTCAGTTGCAGATTCCAAAACATTTCAAGTTGGCAGACCCCAGTTTTGCTATTTCTGGCAACATTGATCTTCTCCTAGGAGCTGATATATTTTATCAACTTTTGTGCATTGGCCAGTTTAGTTTAGGGAATGATCAACCCATTATGCAAAAAACAAGGTTCGGATGGATTTTATCTGGTCCATGTAGCTATGGCAATACAGTGCAATCTCCAACTTATTGTGGATTAAATATCAATTTGGACATTCAGAATCAGTTAGAAAAATTTTGGTCAATTGAGGAACCCCCAAATAGTTTGAAACCTATACTTTCACATGACGAGAAGGAATGCGAGAGTATTTTTGTTCAAAGTACAAAAAGAAATGAAGATGGCAGATTTGTTGTTCAAATTCCTCTCAAACAGCATCCATCTGTATTAGGTAATTCAAGTTTTTCCGCTAAAAGGCAATTTTTCTCGTTGGAAAGGAGACTGCAGAAAAATCCTCAAATGAGACAACTTTATATTGAATTCATGCAAGAGTACGAGGCCATGGGTCATATGTCTGAGTCAAAAGATAATTCTGGTGAGACTTCCTACTTTTTACCTCATCATGGAGTCATAAATGAGAATAGTTCAACAACTCGTTTGCGTGTCGTTTTCAATGGTTCATATCCCACAGATAATGAAATATCCCTCAACGATATTCAATATACTGGGCCAAATATACAAGATGACTTGTTGGAAATATTGTTAAGGTTCAGAGTTCACAATATCGTCGTTTGTGCCGATGGGGCAAAAATGTATCGCATGGTGATGGTGAGTGAGCACCAGAGAAGTCTGCAAAAAATTTATTGGAGGGCGAGTCCAAATGATGAGTTAAAGATCTATTCTCTCAATACCGTTACTTACGGTACGACCTCTGCATCCTTTTTAGCTATTAGGTGTCTCAAACAGTTGGGTTTGGAATTTGAAAATGAATATCCAGAGGCATGTAATGTAATTTTACATAGTTTCTTTGTAGATGATTTGTTATGTGGAGCAGATACTGTTGCAGAAGCAGTAACTTTAAGTATTCAGGTAGCTAGAATACTGGAAACTGGTTGTTTTTCCCTGAGAAAGTGGGTATCAAATTCCCCTGAGGTGATTAGGCAAATTGTTGGAGATGTTTCCAACAATGCTTTCAGTAATCGTGACATCCATTTCAGCGAGGAGAATAAGACTCTTGGTTTGTATTGGTCATTCAAGAATGATCATCTCATGTATCGTATATCTTTAACCGAGCCTGGAAAATATACTAAAAGAACTATTCTTTCATCCATAGCCAAAATTTACGATCCATTAGGTCTAGTTTGTCCATGCATAATCATTGCAAAGATTATTTTGCAAAAATTATGGTGTACCAAGATTGGTTGGGATGATTCTTTGCCATTAAGTATTCACTCCTCATGGCATAAGTTACGGCAAGAATTGTTGGTTTTAAATGACATGGTTATCCCAAGGAAAATGGTTTGTTTTAATGCTAGCATTATTGAATTACATGGTTTTTGTGACAGTTCTGTAGAAGCTTACGGTGCTTGTTTGTACTTGAAAAGCACAACCACTTGTGGTCAGTCTCAAATCTCTCTTGTCTATGCTAAGGCTAAGGTGGCCCCATTGAAGGTAATAACACTTCCTCGACTGGAATTGAGTGGCGCATTGGTTCTTGCACAATTGGTTAGTACTTTCAAAAGGTCAGTCAATCTAACTATTCACAAAACCTATCTATGGACTGATTCCTCAGTGGTATTAGGTTGGTTATCTCACTCACCGCACAACTTACAAACATTTGTTGGGAATCGTGTATCTCAAATACAATCTTTGACTTCAAGTCAAGATTGGCATCATGTTTCATCAAAAGATAACCCTGCAGATATATTGTCAAGGGGTTGTTATCCTGAACAATTGGTTGACAACAAAATATGGTGGAATGGACCTGTTTGGTTGACTAAAGATTGCTCAGAATGGCCTAAGTCAATAATTGAAATTGATATATTACCTGAATTAAAGAAACAAACCTATAATTGCCAGGTTATCCCTGAATATTTTCCAATTAAAGAATTTTCCAACTTTTCACGCTTGAAACGTAGCTTTGCTTATGTTTTAAGATTTTTCAAAAATTGCAAAACTGATAGGGCATCTAGAAATTTTGGTAAGCTCACAGTCCATGAAATGAACGATGCATTGGAAAAATTAGTTGTAGTATCCCAAAAGGAATCCTTTCCTAGTGAATATTCATTGCTGTTGCAAAATAAACAATGTCTTAAGGGCCCTCTCAGTGCACTAAACCCATTTATTGATATAAAGGGTGTCTTGAGGGTGGGGGGTAGATTAGAATTGTCAAATTTAGACTATGCCAAAAAGCATCCAGCTGTTTTGTCATGTAAACATCATTTTACAAGATTGCTGTTTTCTTTTGAGCATAAAACATTATTACACGCTGGGCCTCTTCATTTGCTTGCTTCAATTCGAGAACACTATTGGCCAATTGGTGGGCGAAATTTGTCCAGGCATATAGTTCACAAATGCATACGATGTTTTAAGGTGAAACCAAGAGCAATTGGGCAAATGATGGGTGACTTACCTCAAGAACGTATCTCCCCTACGCCTCCTTTTCATGTAACTGGAGTAGATTATGCGGGCCCCTTTCTTATAAAGTCCAAGAGTGGAAGAGGTGCCAAGATATCAAAGTGTTATGTGTGCCTGTTCATTTGTTTTTCGACTCGTGCAATTCATCTAGAATTGGTATCAGAATTAACTTCTGAGGCATTCATTTCCACTTTCAGGCGTTTTGTATCTCGCCGAGGAAAGCCTGCTTTAATATGGTCTGATAATGGTACAAATTTTGTCGGTGCCAATTCTGAGCTGAAGGAACTTAGTAAGTTTTTGCAGGGGCATAGCGAAGAATTTGTAGGAACTTTTGAAAACGAAGGCGTTAGCTGGAAATTTATCCCTTCTCGAGCTCCTAATTTTGGCGGAATTTGGGAGGCAGGAATAAAGTCTTGCAAATTCCACATGAAACGTGTCATGGGCAATGCCTCATTAACTTTTGAGAATTTCTATACATTGCTCACCCAGATTGAAGCCATTTTAAATTCGCGCCCTTTGGTTCCACTTGCTAGTGATCCAAGTGATTATGACGTATTAACACCAGCCCATTTTTTGGTTGGTAGGCGATTGACAGCTTTACCTGATCTCGATGTTAAAGAAAAGTTTGACAATCGTCTTTCTAAATATCAGTACCTTCAAAAGCTTTATCAACATTTTTGGGCGCGTTGGTCGAAGGAATATGTAATCCTCCTTCAACAACGTTTTAAATGGAAACATCCTCAGAAGAATATTCAAGTGGGTGAACTAGTGATACTTCGTGAGGACAATCTCCCTCCTCTCAATTGGAGAATTGGACGTGTAAGTGAAATTCATTTAGGACGTGATAAGCAGTGCCGCGTAGTGTCTGTAAAAACTTCGCGGGGTATACTAAAGAGACCTATCTCTAAGATTTGTCCTTTGCCCATTGACAATGATTAGGGACTTGATTATTTATTAGGTTTAGGAAAACTTGTTTGAATCATTGAAATTAGTTTTTAAGTTTGGATTTAACTATTTGCGTCCATCTATGTTTTGGATAAGGAATTGTATTTGTTTCAGCTTAGCCACCTTTGTATTTTTTTTTATATATTATTTTGTGTTGAAAGTCTCAACCCTTTCAAGGTGGGGGGTATATGTTTCTAAAGTATAAAATGATTTCTGTTAACGAATGGTAAATGTGGCAACGCCAAACCTATATTGCAGATTTCTGTAATATCGGCTGCCCTGGGAGATTGCTATTGGGGGAGAAAAAAGGGAAGGGGGAACATGTCTTTGTTTTTTGGAGTGTGGCCGTCTGGCGAAAGGCTGTAAAAAGTGGCAGTGCAAATAAAATGTAATTTTGATTGAAATTTTCGAGTGTTTATTACAAAAAAGTGTCAACAACAATTAGCTGAAGCTTAGGAATGGTTCCTAACACTGTCGGCGATGCCCGGATAAGCAAAAACTGTTGCAAAAACTCTACACATAAAGAATTGAGAATAAATTTAGTCCAAGAGCATCAATTTTTTGATTTTGTTTATCCGGGCATCGCCGACAAAGAAATCATTTTTTCTAGGAAATATTGTTTTTTTCCTTCCAGCCACCAACGAATCATGCATATTTTTGGTATGTCTGCTTAAATTGCCCTGATTTGAAAATGTTTTGGAACACCAAGTACAGACATATACATATCTACAAAATTTGGATACATCTTCACTTCTGGACTTACTTCTCATTAGACTTACTCAATCACTTTTACTTATCTATAAGCCCTTTTTAATGTTTTCACTGTTTCCCTCCATCACGATACGAATCAACAGATATGTAACTACAAAAATTACCCTAAACGGAGTGAATAGAAACTTTAGGGTCAGTAGAAACAATGTTACGTTACGAAACAAGTACAAGTTCAAAATCAAAACAAAACAGGAAAACCTAACCTTAAAATCTTCTGTGGAAAGTACGCGCACGCGCATACTGAAGGAGTCACGTTGAGAAATAGACGCAAGTGTATGGAGAAATGTCAGTTTAGGGCATACTTATCCTTAAGGCTCCCCTAAAATAGTTGGTGAAAATGGCCATTAAGTCACTTGTCTCTTGAAAGTTAACTCAGTCACTTTCCAGGCTTTTGTGCTTGCAAAAGACCGTTAAGCAGCATTGTGTAAGGTATATCACATTGACCAAAATTATAAATTATTGTACCAATCTACCAATGGTTTCCAAAATATCTATTTTCATTTTTAACTAGTAGGTAGTACAATTAATTTAAAACGTATATTATTCAACATTTGGTAATGCTGTTGCTATTTCAATTCATCAAACTTTAATTTGGTTAAAACAGATATATTAGGTTTGCTCCAACCCGCCAAAAAACCATCTCCAAGAACGGTTTCGGAACCACTCTGTATACGAATTTCGGATTCTACGAACAAATTTTACGTTTCGCGCAGAATCTTGACAGTGAAATATAAGGCCCCCTGCTGGGTTAGAACAAAGCTATTACTTTCGGAAAAAGCCTTATGCTATTATGTTAACCTATCCTTTGATTTACTAAAATGTAGGCATTAGAGATCCAATTAAATTCGAGCTAAATATTTTTTTTGGTGTATTTCTCAGCCTTCTAAAACTAATGCATTTCGCAGATGACCACAAAAAATGCTTGGTAAATATCTAGGTTTTATTGCACCCAAAAGAATTAATTAAAAAGGTTTTTCCTTCAACCAAAGCAGTAGGTTTGATGTTTTTGTTAGTTTATTTTCAATTTTTTTTTTTTAGATTCATTATAAATATAAAAAAAGTCACATAATGAATGTAGATAATTTTCCTTTTATTGAGAGCATGAGTTAAATTTGAACTACTAGTCTTTGAAGGTTGTTAGGTATATCAAAGCAATTCCCATATTAGGTAGATACGTTTTAAAAGCACAGTCTGGCAGTTATTGAAGTCTTATGGCAGTGGAATACATACTATTAAAACAATTGAAAATGGCAGTATATCATAATTATCACTCAAATTGGAAAATGATTAATTAATTAATTTTTTTATTTATTATATTTTTTTTTAAATTTTATATCAAAATTTTTTAAAACTGGCCAATTTATTTCTATTTGATTTGTAAAATTTACCAAGCATTATTTGCCATTAGATACCTTGGAACCACTTACTTGTAGCAGTTAGGTTTAATGACGTCATCTGCGAAAGTAACCCTCTTCTAGCTGGGCTGAGGCGGTACCAAAGGGGCGTGCAGGTGCAATGCACTCACCGGTCTGCTGCGGGTTTGTTCCACTTTTCGCATTTCGACCTGAAAAAAAGGCAAATTAAAATTATTCATAATAACAAACGTTGCGTAACAAGACATAAGACACAAACACTAGACCAGATGGTAAGCAAATACCCAATAATTTTTGAGAAATATCGCAAATTTATAGAATGCTTTTTCAACAGGTTCCAACTTCATCGAAACGACTACCCTATTAGGTGTATTTTGTATGTAAGTGCCATGTAGAATAGTTCTGATTTTCAGGATTTTTAACGCCGCCTTATTTTAGTTTACATATAGAACGCATTCGAAGAATGGTCTTTGAACAAACTACTTTGCATAGTTGCTTTCTTCACAATGGAAAAGTTAATGCTTCTAAAAAGAAGAGTCGATAAACTAGAACAGTTTATCGACTTCTCCATTACAAGATTCCAAAACTTTCAGAAGTTCATCAATCATCAACTGTCCTTTGACAATAATTTCAACAAAGACTGACCGATTTATAGTTCCAGTCCCGATCTGAGCGTCATTCATGATTGAAAATTTATAGTCCAAGAAAGAAAATTGCAAATAACAAAATATTTCTCATTCACAAAGCATGGAAAACTATACAAGGTGTTTCTAAAAAGTGGGATCAAACTTCTAGGATAGATGATAGTACTTATTGAAATAAAATAAAAAATGTATAGAAACATGGGTCCGCAAAAGGTCCGTGAAGTTGGCCCCTAAAGTGTTAAATTTTATTTGGAAAAATATGTTGTTTGTTAGTGCTTCGTTAGTGCTTTTTAGTGCTTCAATTGTTTTCGTTAGTGCTTTTTTCGTTTTCTGTATATCGATTTTTTTGTAGTTTCAAGGTCAGCCCTGACAATCTGTCAAAATGAACGAAATTTAATACTATGTTTTAGTGCTTCGTTAGTGCTTCAAATAGTTTCGAAAGTGCTTTTTTTATTTCTTAGATATTTTAGATTTTCACTTCAAGGTCAGCCCCCAAAAATTTTCCGAATTACCCAATTTTGGTGTCAGTTTTTAGTGCTTCGTTAGTGCTTTTCAGTGCTTCAAACAGTTGCATTCGAGAATATTTCCTTTTTGAGATATTTAACTTTAAATTTTCAAGGTCAGCCCTCAAATTATATGGGATTGAGTTAAATCTAGAGTCGTTTTTTTGCGCTTTCTTAATGCTCTTTCCGTATTCTGATTATTTAGTATTTTTTATTTTAAAATTAGCACCCAACCTTATTCCAAATGTACAAAAAACACAGGAACGCCACTGAAGCCATTCATAGTAAGGATGATACACCAAATCACCAGTTGTGACGTATGCATGTCCTTTCTCGGATGGACGTAGGCTTTTTGCACTACAGGTTATGATTCCGCGGGCTTTGGCTTCATGCATACTTGGTTTTATTCACGGTTTTACTACATTAATAATTAACATTCTAAAATAACCCTTTATTTAGATCTCGTTTTCATCTTCCTCTTTGCCTATTATATTGATCAATATTAAACAATATTTTTTTATCATAAATTTGAATTATTCTAAGTTATGACCTCCAGTGCGTGAGTTTTCGGCGTAAATTGCCATAAGTAGCTCCATTTCTCTTTCGGAGCTCCCCTACTTATGTTGTCTGCAGTCAAAAGCTGTGCCAGAATATAACCCAGGGCTGGGATCACGACAACTAGAATTCTACTTTCATGACGTCAGGTTGTCTAGCAACTTTCATCATCGCCTGTACTGTATGCGATAAATAGGTCGCGAATGACGTCATGAAAGTAGAATTTTACTCGTCGTGATCCCAGCCCAGGGGCCTTATTCCGTAAGGAACGAAACGTTCGATTCGGTAGAATTTTTTCGATTGTGACGTCATTTTTGCTTTGGTAGCGCGAAAACGAGCGAAAACTAAACCGAAAATGACGTCACAATCGAAGAAATTCTACCGAATCGAACGGTTGTTCCTTACAGAATAAGGCCCTAGGAGTCGTATTATATATCGAATATGACACAGGTATCAAATTTACTGATACTGACTTACTGATAGTTAAAAATATGCCATTTTCCAACTTGTAAAGTGCGGTTCCTCGTTGGGCGCTATTTAATGACAGAGCCATTCTGTTTAAAACAAAGGCGAGTTACCCCGGAGTGAGATGCTCCGGTGCTAAAAAAGCGCCAGTCAAAACTGCGTCTGAACGAACGAAATAGCGCCAGCTAAAACAGTGACCAATTAAAATAGCCCTTTCCAAAACAACTACGCACCGGCACCTTAGATTTCCTCCATACCATAAACCAATGTTGGCTCCAGTGGCGTCCGAGGTGGCGTCCCTGTGTTTTTTGTACATTTTGGAACAAGTTTGGGTGGTAATTTTAAAATAAAATCAGAATACGGAAAGAGCATTAAGAAAACTATCTGAAGCACTGAAAAGCACTAACGATGCGCAAAAAAACGACTCTAGATTTAACTCAATCCCATATAATTTGAGGGCTGACCTTGAAAATTTAAAGTTAAATATCTCAAAAAGGAAATATTCTCGAATGCAAATGTTTGAAGCACTGAGAAGCACTAACGAAGCACTAAAAACTGACACCAAAATTGGGTAATTCGGAAAATTTTTGGGGGCTGACCTTGAAGTGAAAATTTAAAAGAAATAAGAAAAGCACTTTCGAAACTATTTGAAGCACTAACGAAGCACTAAAACATAGTATTAAATTTCGTTCATTTTGACAGATTGTCAGGGCTGACCTTGAAACTACAAAAAAATCGATATACAGAAAACGAAAAAAGCACTAACGAAAACAATTGAAGCACTAAGAAGCACTAACGAAGCACTAACAAACAACATATTGTTCCAAAAAAAATTCAACACTTTAGGGGCCAACTTCCCGGACCTGTCCGCAAACGCTTAGTTTTCGAGATACAGGGTGTCAAAGTTTAAAAAAAAATGGATTTTTTAGCTCAAAAGTCCTTTTCCCGACATCACTGTTTTTTTATACCTTTGATATTTTTTTCAGATAAAAGTCATAGTACATTCAAAACATACCTTTTGTTATCACAGCATGAGTGCCTTTTTCAGTTAAAAACGCATGAGTGCAAATTTGTCGAAAATTATAGAGATATTTCCATTGCACGAGCTGTATTTTATATCCTACTAAACTGATAATCATAAACAGGGCCTAAACTCTCGCGCGGAAGTTAAGGATTTCCATAACTCCCGCTTTTACCTTGAATAGGTAAAAATTTGAGAAAAAATAGAAATTTTGGTTTATGGTTTATTCATTTATAAAAATAGACAAAATACAGTAAATTCAGTAGGATATAAAATTATCTATATACCACGGGAATTATCAGGTGTTAATACCCACGGGCAATTGGTGTCACACAAATTTTGCCCTGGGGTATTAACATCCTCATAATTCCCTTGATACATAAAAAACTATTATAAGAGAATAGGGTAGTCCAACAAAACGATTTTAATGGCCGCTGCAGGAGAAACAAGCCGGCTGCTCATGTCAGCTTTGACTTTTTGACAGATGTATGAAATTCTCTAAATTAAAGCAAACTTGCTACTGAATAATAGTTGCTTACGAACTAGCCAGGCCCTGCGATCTCTCATTGCCAGTTATAAACCACATAATAACTCTTATCCGTTTTTCTAGATGTCGCTGACAACCACATAATTGTCAGAATTGGAAAATACCAGCCAATGAACTATAGCTAAAAACTGGAATGCGCACACATTGCCATATCTGCCAAAAAAATGAAGCCATGAAAGACAGATGCCACAAGGGGGAATGTTGTTTTTTTCTGTTGCTCGCTGACATATGACGTTTTCGAAAGTTTTGTCATATTTCTCTTCACAGGTTTCATCAATTGGAATACGTATTGGACAGGGCCGTGCAAAGCACGTGCGGGCCCCAGTACAGCCATTCCAACGGGCCCCCTACTAACTAACTCAAACTTTTTTGAGTGTCACGAATGCCCAAATTTTTACCTAAAAGTCGTTGAAAAAACACGCCTCGGGTATAATTTTTTTTAGATATTTTTGAAGTGAAACCTCTTTGCTTCACAAAAATTCCGATCGCGTAAGGGGCCGTAAGAGGACTATCAACAGTACATCAGCAGCGACCGGAGGGGGGATACACGCACTTGTCGCTTGATTGAGAGAGATACACTACGTGCCGGTACTTTTGTTGTCAGTTTTCGAATTTGACAGCCGTTAAAATAATCAGGGGTTTGAATGTGCTCTTACCACATCATTCAGATTATAGACCTTGTCCCATGCAAAACATTGTTGAATTCAATGACGTGTCAATTTCGTTATCAACATAAGCCCAACTAGGCTCCAAATTAGAGGGGTGTTGCAGCACCATTTTTAAATGCTAAAGAATTAATTTTTCTTAATTTTACTTGAAAAAGTCAATTTTTCAGAATTTTTCCTGTAGTGATTTTCCACTGGAAAATTTTGAAATTTTCTTTCTGCCAATTTTCCAGAAAAAAATTAAAATTAAAAGAATGAATTTTGCTTAAAAGTCAGTTTTCCAGAACTCCTCCTGGAGTGATTTTTCACTGGAAAATTTTAAAATTTTTATATAATGAGCTCCTCACTTTCTTCTTTTTCCTGGAAAATTTTCGAAATTTTTCCTTTGCCAGTTTTTCAGAAAAAAATTTAAATGTAAACGGATAAATTTTTTTTCATTTTACTTGAAAGGGTCAATTTTCCAGAATTTTTTATTGGAAAATTTCAAATTTTCCTATAATGAGTTCCTCAGTTTCCTTTTTCTTTTGGAAAAATTTCACAATTTTTGCTTTGTCAATTTTCTAGAATTTTCCTTGGAGTGATTTTTCACTAGAAAATTTTGAAATTTTCCTATAATAAGCTCCTCATTTTCTTCTTACTCCTGGAAAAATTTCACAAGTTTTGTTTTTTCAGTTTTCCAGAAATAAATTGAAATGTGAGAGGATGAACTTTCCTTAATTTTGCTTAAATAAGTCAATTTTCAAGAATTTTTCCTGAAGTGATTTTTCACTGGAAAATTTTGAAATTTTGCT